TCCTGTGAGTTTGTGCTGTCATGGAAAGAAAAAAAAAAATTTCTGGGATGTAAAACATTACTCAATCAACAGATCTCTTCATCAGAGAGCACGAAGACCCCCTAAACAACAGTAGAACATTTTTTTGGCCAGGCAAGGTGGCTCACACCTATAATCCCAAAACTTTGGGAGGCCCAGGTCAGTGGATTACTTGGGGTCAGGAGTTCAAGACCAGCCTGGCCAACATAGTGAATCCCCGCTTCTACTAAAAATACAAAAAATAGCACGGCATGGCTGCACATGCCTGTAATTCCAGCTACTCGGGAATGTGAGGCAGGAGAATCACTTGAACCCAGGTTGCAGTGACCCGATATCATACCACTGCACTCCAACTTGGGAAGCAGAGCGAGACTCCATGTGAAAAAAAGAAGAAAAAAAAACTAATAGAACATTTTTCCCCCCTAAAACGTCCTTGTAACAAGGGAACTACAGAGTATGTGATCCAAAATTATATGCAGGGAGATAATAACCCAACTAAATTTTTTGAATAACTACCTTGCTTAGAGAATCAATCTGCAAAATGGGGTTATAAAAAGGAAAAAAATAAGGCCGGGCGCAATCGCTCACACCTATAATCCCAGCACTTTGGGAGGCCGAGGCAGGGGGATCACGAGATCAAGAGATCGAGACCATCCTGGTCAACAAGGTGAAATCCCGTCTCTACTAAAAATACAAAAATTAGCTGGGCATGGTGGTGCGTGCCTGTAGTCCCAGCTACTCGGGAGGCTGAGGCAGGAGAATTGCTTGAACCCAGAAGGCGGAAGTTGCAGTGAGCCGAGATCGTGCCATTGCACTCCAGTCTGGGTAACAACAGCAAAACTCCGTCTCAAAAAAAAAAAAAGGAAAAAAAATAATAAAAAATTAAAAAAAAAAAAAAAAAGAGAGAGAGAACAGAAAGCTGACTTCTTAAAGTGTAAGAGTTTTTCTGGTCCAGGCACGGTGGCTGTTGCCTGTAATCTCAGCACTTTGGGAGGCTGAGGAAGGTGGATCACGAGGTCAAGAGATTAAGACCAGCCTGGCCAACATGGTGAAACCCTGTCTCTACTAAAAGTACAAAAATTAGCTGGGCGTGGTGGCAGGCACCTGTAATCCCAGGTACTAGGGAGGCTGAGGCAGGAGAATTGCTTGAACCCAGGAGGCGGAGGTCACAGTGAGCCGAGATTGCAACATTGCACTCCATCCTGGATGACAGATCAAGACTCAATCTCAGCACTAAAAACACAAAAATTAGCCGGGCATGGTGGCGTGAGCCTGTAGTCCAGCTAGCTGCTTGGAAGGCTGAGGCAGGAGAATCGTTTGAACCCTGGAGGCAGAGGTTACAGTGAGCCAAGATTGCACACTGCACTCCAGCCTGTGTGACAGAGTGAGACTCCGTCTCAAGAAACAAACAGGCCAGGTGCGGTGGCTCACGCCTGTAATCCCAGCACTTTGGGAGGCCAAGGCGGGTGGATCATGAGGTCAAGAGATCCAGACCATCGTGGTCAACAAGGTGAAACCCTGTCTCTACTAAAAGTACAAAAATTAGCTGGGCATGGTGGTGCGCGCCTGTAGTCCCAGCTACTTGAGAGGCTGAGGCAGAAGAATTGCTTGAACCCAGAAGGCGGAGGTTGCAGTGAGCCGAGATCGTGCCATTGCACTCCAGTCTGGGTAACAAGAGCGAAACTCCATCTAAAAAAATAAATAAATAAAAAGAAACGAACAAAAAAAACCAATATTGACAGCAATATGTCAGAAAGATCCTCTCCCACCTATGTCCCTCCTTTTTCTGGATCCTCCAAAATCCTCTGGGCAAAAATGCTTAACTGATGCAACAATCCAGCCTTCATGTCAATTCAAAGTCATATTTCAATTCTTCCCACTACCAGTGGTGGCCAAAAACGTGGTATTTGCATACACAGAGGTAGCTGCAAGAGATTGATTTCACAGTCCCTCCATTCACCTCCATTGAACTTAAAGCCTCTTGCACTTGGCTGAGAAAAACAAGATTTAAAACATTTCTTTTAAAAAGGCAGCACCTGGCTCAGTTTCATCCAGCAACTAAGTTCTACATCAAAAGGAAGAGTAGGCAGGCAACCGCTTGCTGTTCCTAGATAGTCTTCTACCACAGGAAGTGTGAGAGCCCTCGGCACAAGTAAAAGCTGTTCAGGGAAACTCACTAGAATGCCAGTACATTTAGTCAATAGTTCCTTCCATATGTAAAACACCCCTGCTGCCCTGCAGAGAGCAAGGGGGGAAAAGAGCCAAGAAAAGGGAAGGGAGACGTTAGAATAGAGGTAGAACGATCTTTCCAAAGACAAGAAAGGCATGAAACGCATTTAGGAGAAAGTAAAAGAAAAAGCATACTAAGGAATAAAATGCCCCCCCCCAAAAAAAAAGAAACAAAAAAAGGCCAAAAACGAAAGAAGGGGAAGAAATTTATAGTTAAAAAAAAAAAAGAAAGAAAGAAAGAAAAACTGAGGAAAGGAAAAAATTACTTATAGTAAAACTGAGGACGGGCTCGACATTTATAGTAATAAAGCCAGAATATAAAAAGACAACTGCGATCAAAAGGCTGACGACAAAAAGTAGAAAGCCCAAGGGGAGGGGGAAATCAAGTGTGCAGGAAAGGCAAGATACAGAAGAAGGTGGGGGAGGGGAGACAAATCAGATGGGAGAAGGAAGAGAAACAAAGGGCAGGGACAGTGGAGATCCAGCCCTCCCACTCATCCATTCTGGAAGACCAGCCCAGAGAGCAATCAGTTAACTCTCATTAAAATGGAAAGTGGCAGTCCCAGAGTTCTAAGCCTGGACTCCTCGTCTTCGCAAAGATAAAGGAACACTGTCTGCCATTTCCTGTATATCTTGATTCTGAAATTTAATTGAAACTATAAGTTGGCTTTAAAGACAGACAGATTGACAAGCTAATTAAAATCTCTTAATTGGGGGAAAAAGGGGACCCATACGACCAATACCGATAAAACTGGGAAACACACCAGAAGCCACCTAAGCCTTTCGATTTTTTTTTTTTTTTTTTTTTAGACTGAGTCTCCTCTTGATCTTGACTCACTGCAACCTCTGCCTCTCGGGTTCCAGCGATTGTCCTGCTTCAGCCTCCCGAATAGCCAGGACTACAGGCATGCGCCACCACGCCCAGCTAATTTTTTTATTTTTTGTAGAGATGGGGTTTCACCATGTTGGCCAGGATGGTCTCGATCTTTTGACCTTGTGATTCGCCCACCTCGGCCTCACCAAAGTGCTGGGATTACAGGCGTGAGCCACCGCGCCCGGTCTGTCTTTTGAATCTTAACTCATACTAATCTCCTTATTTCCGTGCCTATCTACGTGTACCTCTGCTCCTGGTTTAACTGTAACTGTAAATTCCCAATATGCTCCAAATAACCCTTGCCCTCACTGGTTAAGAAGCGCCTTTTCCATATTTTTTCGTATCCTGAGGCCTAATTAAACCATTTATTTTATTTTACTTTATATTTGGGGCAGGGACACCGAGCACACTCAGGTCCAGGGGAGACCCAGAGCTCCTGCTCTACAGCGCCGCCCTTCCCGGTGGCGCGCGCGGCTCACCCCGCCGGCCCAGGGCAGGGTATCTAATCATATTCTCTCTCCAAGGTCTGGCAGCACTTTTCAAACATTTCTTCAAAAACCGGTCATTACTAGGACGTATTGTGCAGCTCGTTTAGTGCGCCAGAGTGGAACTGGGGCGGAGGGGAAGAGGCACCCTAAAAGACCCATGCAGGAAGGTTGGCTAACTTGGAAGAGGGACGAATGGGGGGCGCGGGAAAGATCCGAGGCTGGAGTTAAGTGTTCTCTTGGAGTCACCTTAGTTTTTACTGGATCAGTAATGGCCAGTGTGGGCTTCTCGTTAACGTGGAAAGGTTACCAGCACCGTCCAATCCCTTCCTGGTCACTTCTTGTAGTATATACATACATGCAGAGAGAGAGAGAGAGAGAAAGAGACAGAGACAGACATAGGAAGATGAGCCCGGGAGGGGACAAGAGCGGAGACCGGAGCCGTGGAGGAGGGAGAGAGGCATGGAGAGAGGGGGAGAGCATTTTCTCTCGGGGGGCGGTAGGTGGTGCGGCCGCCTCCTCGCCCTCGGGCGGGGCCCAGGCCCCTCACGTGCTGCACGACCAGCCCCCGCACCCAGCTCCGCTCACCTCCCACCCTCGGGGCCCGCTCCGGGATCCCGCCAGATGGGGACTGATGGGATCGCAACGCCAGAGGGGCCAGCGACCCAGTGGCGCTCATAAATGAGTTTCTTAAATGCTGTTTTGACAGAACACACACTACCCTCTCTTCCCTTCTTCCCAGATCCTTATAACTGCAAGCCAACTCCTAGCAAGACTCCATCACTGCCTCCACTCTAAACATTTCATCCTTGAAGCCGCCTTTCCGAAACTCTCGGGGAGACAGGCGCCAAAGTATTTCCTACCAACCTGTCTCTCATATAAATATGGGGGGTAAGAAAACTTGTTTAGGGGGTACGCTTGAGCACGGAACAGCCAGGGCTCCCCACTCACAACTTGCACAGACTCTTGCACAGACTCCGAGGCGCCCCGACCTCCGACTCCCCAGAGGGGCCAGGAAATCACTGGCACATTCAGCCATCTCCGGCAGGCCACACTTGCCCTCCCCCAGCCCCGTTTCCAGCGCAGCCCCGGGTCAAAGCCCCAGGCGTCCCTACTGCCCCGCACCCAGCGCTTTGGCGGGGCCTCCGGGGCGGGTGGCCGAGACCTCCGGCCGGGAGCATTGTTTACCTCCCGCAACAAAAGCGCACCGAGCGTCCCGGGATGGGGGGTCGCAGAGGGGAGCCAGCCCACCCCAGCGGTAGCGGGAGAGCCACGGACGCTGAGTCCTGGCTACGTCCAGCCCGCGCGGAGCGCCGCCTCCCGACCCCCCTCGGGCCTCGGCGTCGGAGTCCTAGCTCCCTGCACCCCTGCCCTCTGCCCCGGCCCCAACTCACCGCTGGCCGGGTCACACTCCCAGGGCAGCGCACGGCCCCCAGCTCCAAGCCTGCACCAGCCCTCGGGCAAACTTTCAAACTCGCGCTGGTCCCCACAACTTTGGAGCCCCGGGCCCCGGCGGGCGCGAGGGCGCGGGCAGGTCGGGGAGGACGCCTAAGGGCTCCCAGCACAGTCTAGGCCCAAACCCCCGAGGTGGGGAGAGGCTTCCCAAAGGTCCACAGAGAAGAGAGGCAGGTAGGACTCCATGACTTGGGCGGGGTATGGGGGTGTCCCAGGGGGGCAGACCCGGGAGTAGAGGGGCCAGCGGCAGCGCGCACAAAGCGGCGCCGGAGCAGACTGCGCGGCCACTCCCCGCCAGGTCAGCCCCCCGGAGCAGCAGTGTCTCCCCAGGACAGATCTCAGGGAGTGAAGCTGGGGCTCTGCCTTCGCTGGACCCTGCACAGTTGAGCGAGAGGCAAAACGCGAGCTGGATTAACCCAAACTGGAGCTGGACTCCCCTCTCGACCCCCCTCTCCCTCCTCCTCCTCCTCCTCCTTCTCCTCTCACAACTTCTCTCTCTCTTTTAAGAGGTAGAGAGGTGTCAAGGTTTGTCATTACCCTTTTTCCCAGGGGAGCTTTAGAAAAAGTTTTTAGGATCTTTAAATTGCCTGTTTACAGATGCACGAAGAAGGGGCCAGGTCAGAGATGACACCATTGAGCAATATGTAAGTCGCCAGCACGGAAAACAGCCCTCAACACCAAAAAGAGAAACCAGATGAGGATTGTGTTCCTTGACTCTGCGCTGGATGTCTGCAAAGGTCATCATAATATTTCTGTTAGTTATTTGGCGCTGGACCTCAGTGGCGGTCATACTCACTTTATGAATGAAGAAATGAAAAGGCAGGAAAAGCGAAGTTTTCCACATGAGGAGGAATAACCAGTGGCATTACGGCAGAATTAAGACTAACTATGGCATCTGAATTTTTCTCCAAATGTTTGATGGCTGTTGCTTCTTCCAACAGTCATTACACAGACAAGGGAATCCAGGACTTTAATGGCGTCACTGTGATAAGGGAAATGCTGGTTCATGGAACCTTCATTCCTTCCAGGTCAAACTTCAACTGAAAACAAGATTCAGTCCCTCATTGCCTTTCACACCATTCTACCCCCATTCTGCACTTGGATTTTATTCTTTTTTTTTTTTTTTTTTTTTTCCTGAGACAGTCTCACTCCGTCACCAGGCGCCAGGCTGGCATGCAGTGGCGCGACCTCGGCTCACTGCAACTTCCGCCTCCTAGGTTCAAGTAATTCTCCTGCCTCATCCTCCCGACTAGCTGGGACTACAGGTGCGCTCCACCACGCCCAGCTAATTTTTTTGTATTTTTAGTAGAGACGGGGTTTCACCATGTTGGTCAAGATCGTCTCGATCTCTTTTTTTTTTTTTTTGAGACTGAGTTTCGCTCTTGTTACCAAGGCTGGAGTGCAATGGCGCGATCTTGGCTCACCGCAACCTCCGCCTCCTGGGATCAGGCAATTTCCCCGCCTCAGCCTCCTGAGTAGCTGGGATTACAGGCACGTGCCACCATGCCCAGCTAATTTTTTGTATTTTTAGTAGAGACGGGGTTTCACCATGTTGACCAGAATGATCTCGATCTCTTGACTTCGTGATCCACCCACCTCGGCCTCCCAAAGTGCTGGGATTACAGGCGTGAGCCACCGCGCCCGGCCTGGATTTTATTCTTATACACCTGTTATAAGCATAACCAGGCTGTTCTGAGAGATTCCTAAACTTTTAACCTTCCTCGATGATTAATACAAATATATTCTTGCACTATTATCTAGACATATAGAATGAATAAAGTTTGTCTCCTACTCAGAAGGAACAGAGATTCCAGGCTGGCAAGCAGAGCAAACTGATGACTACACTAGTGTTTTCAATGCCACAATCAGACAAAGTACTTTGGCTGGATAAAATCAGAAATATAGCATTTGAAATTTTTTTTTTTTTTGTATGTTTAGAGATGGGGTGTCTCCATGTTGTTCAGGCTGGTCTTGAACTCCCAACCTCAGGTAATCCACCTGCCACCCAAAGTGCTGGGATTACAGGCAAGAACTAATGCACCTGCCCTTTTCTTTTCTTTTCTTTTTGAGCTTGTTGCCTAGGCTGGAGTGCTGCGGTGCAATCTCAGCTCATTGCAGCCTCTTCTCCCAGGTTCAAGCAATTCTCTTGGCTCAGCCTCCTGAGTAACTGGGATTACAGACACCTGCCACCACGCCCAGCTAATTTTTGTAATTTCAGTAGAGACGGGGTTTCACCATCTTGGGCAGGCTGGTGAAACTCTTGACCTCAGGTGATCTGCCCGCCTCAGCCTCCCAGAGTGCTGGGATTACAGCATAAGCCACCCCATGCCCGGCCTGTAATAAATCCTATACAACCATTGGTGGTTTAGTGATTAGCATAGCTGCCTTCCATGAAATAAAACTTACAGACAAAAATTGATCCTTCTGAGTCAATGCTTTGAAAAGCTTACTTGTTAATACCTTGTTGGAAACATTCTACCTAGATAAAAAGAAAGAAATGTAGGGAGAGTTTAACTTCAAAACTTGATTTTCAAGGCTGGGCACAAACCTGCAATCCTAGTACTTTGAGAGGCTGGGGCAAGAGGACTGTTTGAGCCCAAGAGTTTCAGGTTGCAGTGAGCTTTGGTAAAGCCACTGCACTTCAGCTTGGGTGACAGGGCAAGACACTGCCTTAAAAAATATCCTGACTTTTAGGTGGGCATAGTAGTGTGCACCAACCCAGCTACTCAGGAGGCTGAAGCAAGAGGATCACTTGAGCCCAGGAGTTTGAGGCCATCCTGGGCAACCATAGCAAGACCCATCTCCTTGCCTCCCCAAAAAAAGGAAAAAAAAATAACATCATTTTCATCAAGAACAAAAGAAAAAGGACTATTTCCGGGCGCGGTGGCTCATGCCTGTAATCCCAGCACTTTGGGAGGCCGAGGCGGGTGGATCATGAGATCAAGACCATTCTGGTAAACATGGTGAAACCCGGTCTCTACTAAAAATACAAAAAATTAGCTGGGCATGGTGGCACGTGCCTGTAATCCCAGCTACTCAGGAGGCTGAGGCAGGAGAATCGCCTGAACCCAGGAGGCAGAGGTTGCGGTGAGCCGAGATTGCACCATTGCAAATCCAGCCTGGGTAACAAGAGCAAAACTCTGTCTCAAAAAAAAAAAAAAAGAAAAGAAAAAGGACTATCATAAAATAATGGTATTCTGGCTTTTGTCAGTTAACTAAAATAACTTTAAAATGTATTGAAATAGGAAAATCATACATCTGTGTAGAAAGATGTCTGTGGTAACACTCATTCCCCTCATTCCACAAATGTGCCTTCAGTCCCTACTTAGTGCCTGACACAGTTCCAAACTTGGGGAAACAGAAATGAGCAAATGGAAACCTCTGTCCTGTGGAGCTTGCATTCCATCATAGTGTAGGAGTCCGGGTACAGAAAATAAAGAAAACAAATGAGCAGTATATACAGTATATCAGATAGTGATAGCACCAGGATAAATGTAGGGGGAGGGGAAAGGCAGGGAAGGGGACAGAAAATGCTGGGGAAGGTTGCCATTAAAACAAAAAAATAGGGTGCTGTGGCTCAAGCCTGTAATCCCAGCACTTTGGGAGGCTGAGGCGGGTGGATCATGAGGTCAAGAGATCGAGACCATCCTGGCCAACATGGTGAAACCCCATCTCTACTAAAAATACAAAAATTAGCTGGGCATGGTGGAGCGCGCCTGTAGTCCCAGCTACTCGGGAGGCTGAGGCAGGAGAATTGCTTGAACCCAGGAGGTGGAGGTTGCGGTAAGCCGATATTGTGCCACTGCACTCCAGCCTGGTGACAGAGTGAGACTCTGTCTCAAAAAAAAAAAAAAAGTAGGCCGAGAGCAGTGGCTCACACCTATAATCCCAGCACTTTGGGAGGCCAAGATAGGTGGATCACCTGAGGTCGGGAGTTCAAGACCAGCCTGGCCAACATGGTGAAAACCTGTCTCAACCCAGAAGGCGGAGGTTGCGGTGAGCTGAGATCCTGCCATTGCACTCCAGTCTGGGTAACAACAGCAAAACTCGGTCTAAACAAACAAACCTGTCTCTATTTTTTTTTTTTAATAAAATAAATAAATAAAAATTTTAAAATAGCCGGGTGCAGCAGCTCACGCCTATAATCCCAACACAAATATTTTAGAAGAGACGGAGTTTCACCAGGTTGGCCAGGCTGGTCTCGAACTCCTGACCCTCAGATGATCCACCTGCCTCTGCCTCCCAAAGTGCTGGGATTACAGGCGTGAGCCACCACACCCAGCCGGTTTGTTTTTGCTGTCGCCCAGGCTGGAGTGCAGTAGTACAATCTTGGCTCACTGCAACCTGCTCAGGTTCAAGCAATTCTTGTATCTCAGCCTCCTAAGTACCTGATTACAGGCATGAGCCACTGCACCTGACCAGAATTGTAATTTTGAATTCAGCAATCAAGGAAGACCACATTGAGTAGATCTGAAAAAGTAAAGGAGGAAGCCAGAGAAGGATTGCAGGCTTAAGAAAAAGCAAGTGCATAGGCTCTGAAGGCTGAATTGTGTCTGTGTAAATAAAATACTTGCATTATGTTTCACAAAGGCAAACAATTGTAAATCATCTAAATGTCTATCAGAAAGGATAGGTCCCGGTGCTGTGGCTCTTGCCTGTAATCCCAGCACTTTGGGAGCCAAGGTGAGAGGATCAGGAGATCAGGAGATCAAGACCATCCTGGCCATGGTGAAACCCCGTCTCTACTAAAATACAAAAAATTAGCCAGGCGTGGTGATGGGCGCCTGTAATCCCAGCTACTCAGGAGGCTGAGGCAGGGAAATCACTAGAACCCAGGAGAGAGAGGTTGCAGTGAGCCAAGATTGTGCCCTGTACTCCAGCCTGGTGACAGAGCAATACTCTGTCTCAAAAAAAAAAAAAAAAAAAAAAAAAAAAAAATGGCTGGGCGCGGTGGCTCACACCTGTAATCCCAGCACGTTGGGAGTCCAAGGCAGGCAGATCATGAGGTCAGCAGTTCAAGACCACCCTAGACAACATAGTGAAACCCCAACCCCATCTCTACTGAAAATGCAAAACTATTAGCCAGGCATTGTGGCAAGCACCTGTAATCCTAGCTACTCCGGAGGCTGAGGCAGGAAAATCACTAGAACCCAGGAGACAGAGGTTGCAGTGAGCCAAGATTGTGCCCTGTACTCCAGCCTGGTGACAGAGCAATACTCTGTCTCAAAAAAAAAGGGGGGGAGGGGGGCAGTTTGCCCGTGGGTGTGTGAAGAGAGACAGTCAGTGTGGAGGCCACAGGGGACTCGCCAGGATGAGCAGCACCTTAGCTAAGATGGCGGAGATAGTAGCTGAGATGGCTAAGATTCAAA